GATTGATAGACCCCACAACGATTAGAGAGGAGAACGAAATATTTTTTTATAAGAGTGTGGAAACCTCTCTATTATAACAAACGTGTTTTAAAATCGGGAGACTGACGACGATACGTAACAAGTCAAAATGGACAATATTTAAAATAGAAATATCTCGAATCAGGCAGATTTTTGAATGTATATGCAACAGCGATCAAACAAGTAATTTTCAATCAAAGTAAGTTCACTTTCTGATTTATGTACCCAATGAATATGCTTTGAGATGTTAGTGGGTGAATTGTGATAGGGAAACTGACAGATTATGCAATGAACCAACCACGTATTGGTGCTACAATTATCTTTTGTACAAAGCGAAACTTCTACAAGGAAAGCAACAAACACTATTAAAGATTGAAAATATGTGTTGAATCTAAAGAACAAAGAGTTGATTACGAAATGTTGGAGTAGGGCCTCTCAAACAATCCTCTAATAATTGAGAGTAAAGAAGGGTTTAGATAACTGGACCTTCACTTGCATTCTCCATCGAGACGAGCTTAAAGTGGGCTCTCATGTACTCTTGTCAACACTTCTGAATGTGCAATGTTTTGAACCACACATGAGATGGTGACAAAACATATCTATCCTCAAATTGCTCAAAGCTGCGTTATGAGAACAGAGGCAATGTCTTCATATCAACCAATTATAATCTAAGCTAAGAGCCCATCTACCACATATCTACCCATGCAACAGTATAGATATCCATCTCAACCTGAAAGATTTACCTAACTTTCCCGGCTACTTTACTTTATTCCCTTCCTAAAATTTTCCCCCTATAAACAGACACCTCTTGCATATGAAACATGGAGATATCAGTCGAGGCAGCAGCTGTAATAACTCAATAGGTAGTTGAATCTTGTGTATGTTGTGGAGAGAAACACACTTTTGACCAATGTCCAAGTAATCCAGTGTCAAATCTCATATCGGTTGGAAAAGGAAACGAAACATTGCTTGTAAGAGTGTGGAAACCTCTCCCTAGAAGATGCATTTTAAAACCACGAGACTCACGGTGATACGTAACATGCCAAAACGAACAATATCTGCTAGTGGTGGGCTTGAAATGTTACAAATAATATTAGAGCTAGAGACCAGGCGGTGTGCCAACGAGGATGTTGGCTTCCATGGGAGTGGATTGTGAGATCCCACATTGGTGGGAGAGGGAAACGAAACATTCCTTATAAAGGTGTGAAAATCTCTCTCTAGTTGATGTGTTTTAAAACCGTGAGCTTGATGGCGATATGTAACGAGTCAAAACAGACAATCTCTATTAGCAGTGGGCTCTTGAGCGGTTACAAATGGCATTAGAGCTGTTACAAATGTTAGTGACCGAAATACGAGTCTCCTAGAGATAGCGAGGAAGCTTGTGATCCGTGGTGCCAATTATCGTCGAGGTAGCAAATCTGCAAGAGGGAATGCAGAACCTGCTGAGCTCACTGTTTGTAACGGCCCAGACTCACCGCTAGCAGATGTTGTCCTTTTAGACTTTCCCTTTTCCTCTCAAAGTTTTTAAAACGCGTCTGCTAGGGAAAGGTTTTCACACCCTTATAAAAGGTGTTTCGTTCTCTTCTCCAACTGAGGTGGGATCTCACATGGTCAATGCGTTCTAGTTCCAGTGGGCACAGTAGAAAACTACTATGTTTGTCCCTGCTATGCTAATATGAGCACACATGGTGGCAGGCACAAGTGTCCCTAGACAGTGTTGTTGGTTCTATGATGATGATGTTACGCTTCACATGATATAGATACCCAAATATAGGCTTCACAACAAGACCACCCCAACAAATCTACATTGGGGAAACAGATTCAACAACACAATAAATAGGAATAGATGAGAAGGTTTTAAGGAGAGTGGTAAGGAAATGTTGATTAAAGTGAGTACATAGCAGTAGCTTACTAAGTTCAAAAGGGGAAGGAATAGGCCCCCACCACCTCTGACTTCAATTACAAGCAATTTTGGTATACATATAAAGTATAGTTTGGATATTATGTATAACTGTTCAACTGTCACTCTCTTTTACCTCAAAATTTAACACAATTCCACAAACTTGGAAGCCAAGAAACGAAGCTTTGGTAGTACTTGCTACTGCCTAAATAATAATGATAATAATAATAATAATATAAACTCCCATATTTCTTCTTCTCTGTTTTTCTTCCTCCATTACCCAATTCTTCAATCCTCTTTCTCTTCGGAAGTGGGAACAAAATTAAAGGCTGTTTCTTTGTTTTGTTTTGTTTTGTTTCAAATTTGTAGATCAGAAACCCCTTTAGTTAATTGGGTGGTTTTTTGTTTGTTTGTCTGTTTCCATTTGAACATGGAAAATGGCGGCGTGAGAGTGAAAAGGGCAGAGATCGATACACGAAAGCCATTTGGTTCTGTCAAAGAAGCTGTTACTTTGTTCGGTGACAAAGTTTTGGGCGGAGAACTGATCTATACCACCAAAAACCTTAAACAGGTCTTCTCTTCTTACCCTTTATTTTCTACTGCTCCAATTACTTCTTAGTTTTTGCAGTAATAAACTGATGTGAAAAATTTACATCTCTCTTGATTTTCAAAGTTTTTATCTTTTCTTATCTTGAATTGTCCGAAAATTCCTTACTTACCCAATAATTTGGTGATAGAATATTGAAATTTGGTACTGGGATGATGTGACAAAATGATTTTTTTTTTTTTTTTATATGGTTTGCTTTGAATTGAAGGAAGATATATATCCTAAATGAAGGTAAATTTTTGGGTTAGAAAGTAGTGAATTTGATTATAAAGGTTGGGTTTTTAATGCAAAGATGAATGGGGGAGAGCATAGAGAAATGATGAAGGGGCAGTTGAAGCTAGGGAGTGTTGCAGCTGAACTAGAAGAAACAAAGCAAAGCCTGGAGAAGGCCAAAGAAGAAAGCATGGCAATGGCTCATTGCCTCTCATCCCTCCAAGAAGAGCTTGAGGACACTAAAAAACAGCTTCAACTTTTAAAGCAACGACAATTTGAAGAAGTCCAAGATGTAGAAGTTGTAGGGGCCGATTCAATGGAATTTCAAAACAAACGCTATGTCACTTTTGCCAACCCGCCGGCCGCCGTTGCCCGGGTTGACATTCCGCCGACCGCCGGCGTCGAGAAGTTTGAGAGGCTCTCGTCTCTTAAAAGAGAGAAGAAGAATAAGATGAAGAACACATTAATCCCTCTCATTTCCGGCATGTTTTCCAAGAAAAAAGGAAATTAAACTCATCATGAAATTACAACAGTTAGATATGAGTCTCCTTATAAGAAAATAAGTGAAAAATTTTCAGACAGACAGGATTGTAACCGAACAGTTCGACGTTGAATTTCTTAACTTGGTCTTGTAATGAGAAATTCCATGCATATAAATTTACGCCTTGTTTTTTCTTCTTATTTTCGTTTCCTTCTAAAAATTACTTGTATAGTCTAAGTGGGTCGTGTTGACCAACCCAAAAATTATTTGGAGTTCGAGTTGGGCTTAGCCTCAAGTCTCAACTCGTTCTCGTTCTTTCTTTTTTTCTTAATGTAATCGGGTTGGCTTACCCCTCTGCATTTGGTAAACACTCCAAACCAAATCAGGTCCTAAAAACAACCCAAAATGTTATTTAACTTAATCCAATCCTCACAATTTGGGTTGGATTAGTTTCAGTTCTTAAATTGTCGGAGTTCAACCTACGCCCCTTCTTTTGCTCAATAAAAAAACAAAAAGACACATATTATTGTGGAACCAATTTTTTTTGTCAAACATTATAACAAACAAACAAATATCTCTTGGTATTTCAACATTGGAGAGAGATATTATTTTGCATCCTCAACCTATCATACAAAAGAATTTGATTTTTGAGTTTCAAAAACTCCATCTTGGGACGACTGGTTGAAAAACTCGATACAATCAGCAATAGCCTCATCATAGTGAGAATGGGAAGAGTAATAGGAACTGCATGATGTTTTGGGTGGATCAAATGACCTGTCGTAGCTTGATCTCCGTTTCGACGACGACGATGACGACACACGAGACGGAAATGAGAACACGAATCGCACGAGTATCTTACGGATGTGATGAAAGAGGTTCATGGAAGAGAAGTTTGGAGATTTGGAAGAAGCAGCAATTAGAGTAAGTTGAGAGGATTTGGACCTTTGCATATTGTGTAAATCCGGTGACCAAGAGGGGTTCCTGCTGGATGTGGTTTGGTGATTTATATAATACATAGATTTGTATAGATATTTAGAACAAGGGGTTTGTATGGGCCAAGCTTTGCAGAGCATAATCAGAGCAAGAAAAGATGCTGCCCCAACTCTCCATGTGCTCAAATCATTTCCCTTTAAAACAAATTCATCAAAACCAGCTTTAAAAGATAATTTTCTTTAATCTTCTCACTAATTATAGTATTTCTGAATGTACGATAAGAATATATATGGGTTCCATTCAATGAAGCATTCCAAATTGAGCAACAAATAAAAGCTTTTTAACCAAAATATTCCAAGAATGATAAATTTGTGACCCATTTCACAATTTTGATAAAACTAAGTGCTAGGGAGGGCAACTTTCGGGTGCAATGCTTTGATGTTCGAGACCTTTTGTGTGGAGCCCATATTCGCAATTTAAACCTATAAGAAAGGGATGGTTTCACAAGTAGACTTCAACCACAAATGTAGTACTACATTTCTTGAGTAGACACGGGTCTATTAATAATAGAAATGGTCAACTTAATTCTATTGAGTGAGAGTTGAGAGAGGAAGAAATCTTAGAGCTATTCACTTTCGTTATTGAATCAGTATGACTCTACACTAAAAAAATTAATATCTTTAATTGCAGTCTAACGAGCTAGAATTGAGTCAACCCAACCTTAAAATACCTAAGTTCTCAAACTAACCTTTAAATTTGACTTATTAAATCAAAATTAGAGTCAAACATGAAAGGATTGATTCCATATTAGTGAAGCAGCTAAAATTATATCATACTACATAAGCTTACTGTAACCCACATCTAATATCCACCAACAAAAATTATTTTAAATTTAAAGACTAAAAAAAAACGCTAACTAAACCATATAGATATCCTAAACTGTCTGACGTAATAAAACTAACAAAAAGAAAACGAACTAATTAAACGACGTCGTTAATTAGGTTTGGAGGGCTTCGTAGATCACAACGAAACAAGGAAGGATAGCCTTTGGATTGAAAATGATCAACTCCTCGAGATTCGAATACACCCCTGACTGTCGTGAAACGGAATCGTAAGAGGCCGCTGCCGCCGACAAATTCTCCTCCTCCACCGCTGCGGCCGACAAATCCTCCGCGATCCGCTTCACTCTTCCAGCGATGACACGACACACCAACATCGCCCGCCGCCGTCCATCGCCGCATTCGAACGAATCATGGGCCCTACCGCTACTGGCCGTGGTTCGTACGCCAGCGGGTTCACCGGGCTTGCACTGGAATCCATGACGGATAACGCTGCAGACACGGCAGCCGGGAATCGAGCCACACAGGCCGGTTGAGCCACGTGAGCCGAGGTCACACAACAACTCGCTACAATGGAACCGCAACAGCTCATTACCGTCAGCCGCACACCGCGGGTTTTTTCTAGTGCTTGCGAGCGCACGTGTCTTCACTGCATCGCGGCAGTCTTCAAACCGTTGGATGGTGCGTTGGGTATTGTGGACCTTTAATATCCGTTCGATCTTGCAAATTGGACGGTCTATTTTTAGCCAGCTTGATTTGAAAATGATCTCCACGATGTTTCGACCCGAATCGTCAGGACCCAACTCCGAAACTAAAAAGACAAATAAACAAACAAAATTAATGGATTTGATTTGACACACACATTTTCGTGTCGGTCGAGTCAACGGTCGTGCAGGTTTATACACCAAGTAAGACTCTTAACACAAAGAATCAAAACATGCCACGTCATCCGTGAAGAACCCAGCTGTAAATGGAATATTAAAGAGCATTTACACGTCGTCAGCAGTGGTGTATGAGTGAAGGCAAAACCCCATGGCCACGAAAGCGATTTTTTATACAATTTTCTATTTACCCTTTTAAAATAACCCACACAAAGAATTTGGAAAATACCAGCGTGGCGAACCGCTTGGTGAAGCTCTAAGCTTTCCATCTTGGAGAACATCTCTCCACATTGAGGACAGGGGCAAATAGAACTCCTCGGAATCGGGTACCTGAAATTCAACTCCAATTTTAACTCTCTTTTTTATTTTTTTATTTATAATTAAATAATAATGAGAAAGCGACAATATCCAACTAGTGTTGTGCTTGGGCGGAGCGGTTACAAAATACCTGCTAGGGTCAACGATGGCGTGGCATTCGTAACACCCAGAAAGCTTTCGTAATTGTAATACTCTAGAAGAGGAGGAGTATGAAGCAGAAGCACCGTTTTTGGTTCTGGTCGGAGCTGTCAAAGAACGAGACGATGAACCGTTTGTAGCTTTTGTAGTGAGTAACCTAGTTTCCTGTCCGAGGGAGCTGGTTTCCGGTGAGTTGTCGGGTCTGTGAACAATTTTGGCGTTGCCATGGACCACGTCTCTAAACCTACAAATGGAGCTGTAAGAAGAACCCAACTTCGAATTCGCCGCCGGCGGGCGTTTTTCCGGCTCGTGAACTCTCGTAGCCTCCACCTAATAAGAACGAAAATAAAAAGATTAAGTTTAGTACTCTATATACTTTTAATTAAACTTAAAATTAGTTTAATATTTTCAGACAATAAAACACATAAAATGAACACATTTCTAATTGAAGAAAAAAAGAAATAAAAGGCAAAAGAATATGAATCTGTAATTTATGAAATGTAGGGGTAAGCTTTGAAATTTAGACGCACCTGCTTGCAAGTGATGAGGTTCTTGATTTGGTCCCATGAAGATTGGGCAGAGGGCGGCGGCGGCGGTTGGGAGGGAGGTGGGTTTTGGTGCTTTTTTCTGCGTTCGGTGTTGATGGGTTTCGTTTTTCTGCTTTTCTCTGCGTTTATTGCTAAGGAAGTTGAGTGTGCCATGAAAATAATGAAAGTTTCCCTTTTTTCTCGGAGAGAGAGAGAGAGAGAGAGAGAGTTATAGAAGGTGTGAAATGAAATGGAGAGGGAGAGATCCAAGAATGTAATAAGGGAGTGTGGGGCTTCCTTCTTTTTTCTCTCTCTCTCTCTATATATATAAAGTCCATTGGTGAATGAACAAACATGAGTATGAGTTTAATATCATAGTGTCGGATCCACGGGGATGTAGAGGAGAACGAAATATTTTTATATAAGGGTGTGAAAAGAGTCATATACTAGACGGTGTGCAAGCGAAGACACTGACCCCAAGAGGTGAATTGTGATATCTTACATCATTTGGAGAGAAACAAAGCATTTCTTATAAAAGTGTGGAAACCGATATTTACTACACGCGTTTTAACGTATGGAAAAGTAGGATTCTTCCCGAGTTGGAAGAAACATATTCGAATTTGAATAATATAATAAGATGAAAAATATGGAAAGGGGTATGGGCTTATGAATTTGAGATACATTTGTTATAACTTGATTCACCGGATAAAAGCCTAATTTCTGAAGTGAATAAGGGTAAACAGACAACATATAAAAACAACTAGAAGACATGAAACGAAGTGCCCAATATTGCGCAGATGTTGTCCCCATGCTGTTTGGTTTTATTAAGATTCTTCATGTTCTGCTCTCATGTCATGATCTCAGCTTTTTTGTGTCATTAATCCAAATTAATATCCTAATTATATAAAGTTTAAAATACAATATTAATTTCCTGATTCTCATTAATTTTACAAATTGGTCTCATTATTATATGAGTCAGTGTCCACACAGACACCGATTAAATTTCAATCACCAAACCCATCATTAATTAAATAAATGTAGATGACAGATAAGCTGGCAAAGCAATAAAGGTTTGTGAAAGCCAGGTGGAGGGTAAGAGAAGCTTTATTTATTTATTTATTTTATTATTTATTAGATGAATGCTAATAAATTGAAATGCCCATGAATCTCAAATTTTGGAAATTGTTCCATTATGCCTAAGCATGTCACGTGTGTCTAATTTGAAATCATATATTTTAGCAAGGGCCTGGTGTTCAATCTTTTCTAACAAAAAAATATGTGTTAAATTCAAGTAATCCTTAAAATTGATATATTCAAAAAGGTATTTAAAGCCCAAATTCACCCTGAAACAGGGGGCCTTCTAGCAGGATGTCCAAAAATATTTGGGCCTAACCCAAATTCACTTTATTGCTTTCATTTACACTCTCTTACAATCAAGTAGAAACAGATTGGTTAAGTAAAGAATTATGTGTCGAGTCATGATTCAAGGTTCATATGTGTGGTCTCTGCATCAACATGATAAAAATATTATTAGAACCAAGAAAAGTATAAAATTATGTAGATGGTAAGAACTTAAAGCACGTGTTCACAACGTTGTTAAGATCAATACTGATGCAAGTGCATTGCGTACAAAAAGGCTAACAACACTAGTAATTGAAAAGATGCCTGAATGTATTAAACATCTTTTCAATTACTTTTCATTAAGTTTATAGCCCTTCATCAAAATACCTTTTCTTTATCCATTTATCAAGGAATAATTAAGACTCCATTCAAAGGAGAGTAAAAAAGGAAACTTGTCAATAGAATCCAATTTAACTGATCGAAGGAAAAGATTTAACCCAAACCATCTGTTGTGCAAAAAGCATTTCCGACGGAAGTCCTGAATTCAACTATAGCCAAGTAAAGATTTATGCGAACATTGAAATTATACCATGGAATTTTGACAAGAACCGCACCATATGCTAACTCTAGACCACCCACCGGCCACCGTCCAGAAAAATAAAGAGAAAATAAAATTGGAATAGAAACAACAAATTTACATGAATGCCGGGATCGGCGAATCAGTACTCATTGTTCCATTCTGCTTTTTAAGAGGGGAAACTGAGATTCAGAAACATTGCTCCCATTCCCTTTTCAACGGTTAGCAGCAGCACTTGAACGGGTTTTTCTCAAGCGTGGGCGAGTTACTTTTGTGGGTTCTTCTATGACGGTCTCTTTTGGGGGAGGATTTTCATTCTCGTCCACTGAAGCTGGCGGTTGTTCAATCAGCAGCATTGGCTCCGGTTCAGATTGGCTGCTGCTACTGGCTGGTTCAGATGGTACTGCAGCTGCTTTCGGAGTGTTAGGAACGTTGACTGAGGTTGATGGTTTCAAGCCTTTTGGAGTATGAGGAACTTCAACTGTGTTTTTTGACGGTTTTGACACTTTCGGACTACTAGGAACTTCAAATGTGGTTTTCAGTTTTGAAACTTGTGAAACACCCACCTCTTCAGCTACATCTTTTTGTTGACTTGAAGATGGGGATGACGACGAATCAATTAGCACTTGATTAGTAGTGGCACCAGTGCTTTTTGATGTCACATTGTCTGGTAAAACCTTCGCCTTCGCCACCGCGGGCTGTTTCTGCAATTTAAGAGAAATAAGTAGATATAGGTATTTCCAGAACCGCCACAACTATTTTCTAATGCAAGTTCGATTGTACCACATGCACTAGATAAACAAATATCAGATACGCATGTAATGAGAGCGATGCGTAAAGAAATGTAAAGCTGCTTCTTTACATAACATAAAATCATTTCACATTGCACAATCCTGGCCTGAAGAATAAGATACAAATCATTACACGCAGCAAGAAACCAGGTCATTATAACAGACAACAGAATAGCAGTACTCATTTTTTTTTCCATATCACTCAATAAAACACCAATTTAGGACTAAAATATGAACGACAATAAGACGATTTTTATCTAATTAAATTTATCTGCAAATACCTGAGCCTTGTGAGGCTTAGCTGTTGATTGTGCAGCAACATATTGCAAGATCTCGTATACCCTTGTCTGGCCATAGCTTGCAGCTCTCTGCCAATAGATAACAGCAATATCACCAGCTCTGGTCCTCAGTTCCAATAAATTTTGGTCAATATCTGTCTCATGCTTTGCTACATATGGTCTAAAGAAGGAATCATATACATAAGTTGTTCCCTGACAAATGAAAAGTTATTAGGAAGAAGATAAGTGATTTCAGAAAGAAGGTGGCCCAGGAGTGAGCACAAGAAAGAGAAAAGCCTAAATTCCAGATTCTGATTCCTTACTTTTGTTTTGGGGTACCAGAGATATATGTAGAAAGCCAATTTAGCTTCACTATACATAGGAACCCTGCACAAGTGAAAATAATAATAATATTATTAAAAATTTATAATTCACAAGTAAAGGCCAACTAACTATGAGGAATCAACGGAGTCCTAGACCAAACAACTAAATAAAAAAGAAGGGCATCGTATCAACAATATCTTCATCCAATTCCTACCATGAAATGAATGCATCTCCAATCCTCTCACAAACAGTCAAAACAGCCACTAAAATCCTGAAACCAAAAGGAAAGCCAATCAATGTTGATGCTCAGAATTTTATTGCAGACAATTGATGCAAAATAAATATTATCGCATACCAGTATTGGCACCAAAAGCGAAGTTGCTCAATTTCTGGCTTGTTCATTTCAACAGTTTTATAGCACTCATATGCAGGATAAGCATAGCCAAAAATCATCCTGTCAACAGATTGACAAAATATATATTAATACCACAGGATAATCTGTATTATTACCGATGCAAGCAAATTATTATTAACTAGACTTACACGAGACCTCTAGTAAGAAAGGAGCCAATCATCTTGAATGCCTAACAAAATTTAGACATTAGTTATGGTTAAATTAGAAGGGTCATAGATAGATTTTAGTAAAGCTAATAGTGAAGTATGTTAAATAATGAGAGAAAACTGTACAATCAAATAGAAAGTAGATCACAAGGAGTAACAAGGAATCAAAAAATTGAAGAGTTCCAGACAAATAATATCTGTTTGTTGAACTATGAACAATTGATGTATGTTCTTACGCTTCTATAGAAACCAATAAAATCAGTTAATTAAACAAAATTCCAAATTATACCACAAAGACCAAAAAGATAGAAAGACACCAAAACATTCCTCGTTCAGAATCTCATAAAAGTTCCAGCAAACTGCGATGCATCCTTCACGCACAATCTTTTAAAAATGCTTATCGCTTCATAGAAGGCGGCTAAGAATGTGAATAATGAAACAAATAAACAATCAATAAAGCTCAAAATGAGAAGAAAAATTCAGTCCATTCAGTGCGTAAAATGCTGTATGCCCTTGCCATTAGCAGGCCATTCAAACCAAACGCAGCGTTTCTACCTTTCTGCACAATGAAGTCGCAACTTAACTTCATCAAAGGCCATCGCACAATAAATTTTAGGACTACAATGCTCGGAACTTGAAATTTAGGGGATAACAAAGCGTCATGAGCATCTGCCGAACAACCACAAGAAAACAGTATCCAAATTCCAAAGAATAAAGTAAATCCCCGAACATTATCAGTCTAGGACCAGAAACACCTAGAAATAAGAATAAGATAACTACGGAGACCTAATAAAACAAAACATCAAGCACCTCAACTGAACATTCTGAGGTCTAAACAAATCTCGAAGGCAGAAATAAAGGAAAACATAACAAAACCTTAGGTTCAAGAGACAAAATGAGAACGAAAGAGAAAGAGATTAGTAGCTAGTGATTATTACCTTGAGACAAAATCAAAGAATCGACGAATACGAGAAAAATCAAAAGTCCGCAAAAGCTGGCTCAGAGGCAGTGGATAGAGGAGAATCGTAGAGTGAGAGTGGGAGATCGACGGCGGAGAGACAAATCAGCGATCGGCACCGCCAAAATGCCTCGGCGGACCGTTGGAAAAGCAGAGGAAGTGATAAAGATGGAGCGAGAGAGCGAGAGAGAGCGAGAGAGAGCGAGAAAGCGAGAGAGCGCGTTTGAAATTCTTGCACCAATCGGATATTTGGTTCTGCGAATTTCATTTCGCTAATAAAACCCGCTTTGATTTCCATAAAAATCGTATTATTATGGAAGGACGCTTTGGAATGTGTGTTTACAAGGACAATAATGGTATAAACTTCATCCCTTAATCACCGTTCATTTCGAATCAAACGGCTCTCTAATTAGTCATTTCTGCATTTCTGGTATAACGGAGCCGGAGGGAGCGTACGCTCCTTTTTATTTTTTTTTATTTTTTT